ATACAATTTTCAATTTTTATAATATTAGATGGTCTTAGTAGGTATACGCTTTTTCAAAATATTAACACTCATCTACAAGTGCTGCACTTTCGTTGTAAATTTAATTTTACGATTCGTAAATTATAAATAGTACACTTAAACAATTCTTTTGTGATGGCAATTTACTACCAGTGATTTGGTAGTCCATAGCTCCTAGAAAAACGCGATTTCGTGGCATATTTAAACACAATATGATTAATAAAAATATGATTTAGCAGTAAGCACTGAATTAAACGACAAACGACAACAGTTACCACAAAACACTAAATTAATACACTGTATAACATTTGAATGGTTATATAAAAATATATATAAATATGTTTGTCTCGCACAGTTTAAATATAAACACGATAGCAATACGTAACCATTGTATAAAAACCTAAGAACTTTAGAAAAAAGTAAAACAAGAAAGAGTGATTTATGCAGAAAAAGAGAGAGAGATTTTGAAGATAAATTAAATAACTTATTCGATATTGCTCATGCTAAAGCTATGGATCTTATGAAAATACAAGAGGATAAAGATTTTTTACAACTTCAACGAAAATCAGGTCGTCCTGGTTGTATGATGGGTGTTGATATTAGGGGTCGCGGTTATGAACGGGTATTAGATACACGGGCACACGGAGCCCGGGTACCCGGGTAAAAAATATATTAAATTCCGGATACTTAATATCCGTGTATAATACCCGTGTATACCCGTGTATTTAATACCCGTGCATATATTGTATATTAATTCAGAATTCAGATATACTTTAATATAAATATTTTTTTTGCTAACTTTTCTTAACTCTTTATACGAGTCTTTATAAGATTAAATAGCACAACAGGTTCATTATATTAATACTCATTTATTATAAGTTATTTTTATAGTTATTAGTTATGCTTAAAAATTAGTATGATGCATTCGTTTATCGTATAATGTTATATAGGCATAAACACTATAAGCTAAAGTATAATAATATACGTAAAATAAAGTAATATTAAAAGTAAAACTGGTTTTAAGGTTCAAACATAAATATTCGCAAAGTTATCTTATCGCCAATTTTATTGCATTACATTTACGTACCTACTACCTATGTAGTATATATGCTTTTTATCTAAATATTTTTGGTATTTTAAAATTGCTCCATAGTCCATACTGGACTTTATTTTCCTGTGTTCACTATTACTATACGTGTCACGTGAAGTGTAGGTCTTGATATTTATTTTATATTATACATATTAAATTTTCTTTGGAAAATGAGTTATCGATCTAAAAGTTGGGTATGGCAATACGGTAAACGCCAAGGCGATAAAGCTGTTTGTGATCTGTGTGACGATAATTCAAATAAAGTGTTTTGTTGTGCTGGTGGATCAACGGGATCATTTGGCAGACATTTAAAACTCATACACAATATAATCAAAAACACTCAAAATCAAAATTATGTATAAATGCAATTCATTTATAATAATTCAAATAAAAAATGGACGGGATTGAAAATTTGAACAGCTTTAATTACACAATTATAAAATAAAATTAATTAATTAATTAAAAATTGGGTTATCTTGAAAAGCTTATTTTTATATAAAATATTCGTGTTAACGTATTATCGCATAGTGGTGAAATTTAGAAATTTATAATAGTAAACAAAATAATAAACTAAATAATAGTAACTCGAAGTTGCGAGTTTTGCTTTGTTATTTGGTTTTATAAACACATGTAAAATTATTATATGGTTTATATTTTTCTAATAGGACACACACATTCGATCAGTCGTAACAATAATAATTAATAATAATTGTAAATTATATATTTAAATTACAATATTATTTATAATGCACCATATCTACATAATATATTATATTAATCTTATCATTCAATTACTATACCTATAAAATTGATTTATGTAATTGTAATTAATGTTATACTTTAATTTATTTCCTGGTGATGACAATCTTCATGAAGTTGAAGAGTGTAGTATAGTTGATGGATTAACACAGTGTTCATCGTCATTATCAACTAGTTTATTAAATACCGCTTGTTCATCCTCATCATCAGAATTTCGTAAACCGCCCCGTAAACGACGTAGAACTTATATTGACAAGAACTTTGGAAAAAACCGAATTTGTAGATCAGAAAGAACAGAAGAAATTCATCAAACGTTAGCTAAAATGATCGCTATCAACCAAATGCCCTTATCCTTTTGTTCTAGTTCCGGTTTTAAACAATTTATGAGCATAGTCGAACCAAATTATATTATCTGTAAGGAAAGTGCTATCAAACAGAGACTCAAAGGATTCAAATCGTCGGTTGAAAATTTAATAAAAAAAGAATTAAAAGATGCCAAAAGTGTAAGTTGTACATCGGACTGTTGGTCATCAATAGCTCAAGAATCGTACATAACAGTTACTGCACATTTTATTGATGACCAGTGGTGCCCAAAATCATACACTTTGACAACTCACAAATTAGAAGAGCGTCATACAGCTTCAAATTTATCTGATCAATTAGAAAATACTTTTAATAAATGGGAAATCAACCAAAAAGTTACGGCAGTAGTTACTGACAATGCAAAAAATGTGTTAAATTCAATTAATTTACTAGATAATATTACAGAAAAAAATGATATAACATGTGCTGCACATACATTACAACTTGCTGTCAATAATGCCCTAAAATATGATAAAATAGATAATTTAATTCAATTATGTAGTAAAATTGTTTGTCATTTTAAGCATTCAAATTTAGCTAGTCAATATTTAAAAGATAAACAAGAACAACTAGGTATGCCAACAGAAAGTTTAATTCAAAGCTGTAAAACCAGGTGGAATTCTATATTTATGATGCTTGATCGAATTTATAAAAATAGGTGCCCTATTTCAAATGTTCTTGCTGATCGTTCGTTAACTACAGCAGCGATGGCACACAAATTTGAAGTGTCAGAACACCAATGGACAAATGTAGAAACACTTATAAAATTGCTTAAGCCTCTACAAATTATGACCACTGTTTTTTGTGGGGAAAAATATTGTTCTAGTTCAATGGTGAGACTTCTTCTAAACGCAGTTATAGAAAAGCATTTAAAGCATAATATAAGTGATGATGAAATAGCTGAACATTTTAAAACAACTGTAATAAGAGAACTTTCAGACCGTTTTTAAATTACTGTGGACTGCTTCTAGTGTCGTATCTGCTAGGTAAATAGCGTCTTTCCTCGACCCAAGGTTCAAGGACTTAGAGCATGAAACGGTTGATGCAAGAGAGGAAATTCGTTCACGGGTTAAAAATTTGATAAACGAAATGGCTGAAATTAATTGCGATGTTCAAATCAAAACACCCGTAACTAAACATCACGGTGCTCTTGAATTTTTGTTCGGTGATGAAGTAAACTGTAATCAAGCTGATTCTGACATTCAGTATCAAAATTACTTGACAGAACCACAGTTGAAATTTGATTTTGATGCACTAGAATGGTGGAAGACACATACATCAAAATATCCATTAATTGTTGCTCTGGCAATGAAATATTTAGGGATACCAGCAACTTCAGTTAGTTCTGAAAGATGTTTCTCAACCGCTGGAAACATAGTATCGGCCAAGAGAAGTTGTTTGGCGCCCGAAACGGTGAACATGTTGATTTTTCTTTACCAAAACAAACAATTATTATAACTTCCTAGATCGTGAGTGATTACTTTATTATTTTTTTGTTAATTTTTCGTACTGCTTGATCATTAATTTAATATTATTATTGTTATTTAATTATTATGCGATACAACTTTTTTTGTAATAAAACAAAATTTAAATTCTTTAGATATTGTAATGTAATAAAATACAAGTAAACAAATAAATTCTGTATTATTTTTTATAACTACTTTTCATTATAAATTATACATTTATACTTGGGTGTATACTGTATACACACATTTATTTTATTATTGTAATTTATTAATATTATTGATGATTGTGATTACGAATTTCGAACATATACTAAGAGGTAGTATTGAGTTCAGAAAGTGGAGCAATCTTAAGTCAGCACTACAAAATAGTGCAATACGATTTTATTTAAATACATGAGTATTTAAGGTAAAGGGCATTTTTAATACCCGGGTATACACGGGTATTTTTATAACACGAGCTTTAACCCCGTCATAGGTAAAAACACGGGTATCCGTGTAGTTCATTACACGTGTAATCGCGACCTCTAGTTGATATGGAGTTAACTGGAGTTGAACAAAGAAACTAATAAGAAATGAAATAAAAAATAAAAAAAGTACAGCTGTTTTTGATACTTCATTAACAGGTATTTGGTATTTTATATTAGTTAATTAATTGAAAAAATATATATTAATTATTTATGCTTAACATAATTTAGAACAATATTTATTTTCTTCATCCACGTCAAATTCTGATGAAATGGAAGACGAATATGAAGCAGATCCACAGTTATCTCTAGCTCCAGGTCCATCAAAAAATAAAAGCGGTAGGATAGAACTTTTAACACCTAGATTATCAGCCACTCTCGATAAATGTAAAATAAGTGATAGAGACGCTGTTAATTTGTTAACTGCGTGTATAGTAGCCTTGTCAATATATCCGAGTGTTTATGTTATAAATCGTACATCGATTAAAAACTCCCGTGAAAATTATCGACAAAAAATATTGAAAAATATTAATTCTAAATTTCACGAACAAAATTTAAATTATGTCGTGATCATCCACTGGGGTTCAAAAACTCTTCCAGCTCTTACCGGTAAAAATAATGTTGGATCGTTTGCCAATTGTTGCAACAGCCATGGATGCTGAACAACTTCTTGGAGTCCCTCAATTGCCTTCTGGGACAGGATATGAAATATCTTCAGCTGTTTTTGATACCTTGCAAAGGGGATCTTTACTAGAAAAAGATCAGGCCTTCGTATTTGATACTACAGCTTCTAACACGGGGAGATTGAACGGGGCATGCATATTGTTAGAACAAAGTCTAGAAAGAGAAATCTTATTTTTGGCATGTTGACATCACATTTATGAACTAGTTTTACAAGGTGTATTTTTAGAAACTAAATTATATCCTATGACTGGACCAGATATATTATTATTTAAAAGATTTCAACATGCGTGGGAAAAAATTGATAAAAGTAAATTATCTACGTGGAATTCTGATCCCTACATTCATAATATTTTAAAAATTGATGCCGATGAAATTATATTATATGCAAAAAAAAAAAATTACTGAAGAGCTCCCTCGAGATGATTACCAAGAATTTTTAGAACTCGTTATCATATTTTTAGGTGGAGTTCTACCTCGAGGAATTGCTTTTAGACAGCCTGGTCCATATCATTTAGCCAGATGGATGTCTAAGGCCATATATTCTTTAAAATTATTTATCTTTAAAGAACAATTTAAATTAAATAGTAAAGAAGAAAATGCATTAAAAGAAATTTGTTGTTTTATAGTAAAATGTTATGTCCAAGCATGGTTTTCATGTACTAACGCAATCGGCCCCACTTAATGACATTCTATTTTTAAAAACATTAGAAGCATATAAATTTTATAATAAAAGAATAGCAGACGTAGCATTAAAAAAAATAATAAACCATTTGTGGTATTTAAATCCAGAATGCATAACATTTTCGATATTTGACGATCGCGTAGATAACCACACAAAACGCAAAATGGCTGAGAAAATTGTTTGTATAAATAATTCTACCATAAACAAAGACGAAGAAGAAATAGAGTTAAAAAAAAAAAATAACACTTAAATTAGAAGATGTTTCACATTTTATTCAAAAAGATCTCCTTATTGATTTAATAAACTTTAAATCAATTGGAATGTTCAAGAGGTTTAATATTTCCACAAACTTTTTAACTATTGATCCGGCACATTGGCATAATCAAGATGACTATAAAATTTGAAAAAAAATTATAAGATCATTAAAAGTCGTGAATGACACAGCTGAGAGAGGAGTCAAGCTAATAGAAGAATATAATCACAAATTTACAAAAAACGAAGAACAAAAACAATGCGTATTACAGGTAAATAATTTAACTATAATTAATTTAATCAAACATAAAAATGTCATTATATTTTCTAGACTGTTCAAGACTATCGAAAGAATTATCCAAAAAGTGATAGACAAACGCTCAAGAAATCATTTTAGGAGTCAACAATTCATTATTAGTAAAATTAAAAATAATTAAAAAAATGTTTTAAATAATTTATTGTAATTTCACAAAATTTAGGTAATTAAAACCGAAATCTATAAAATAGTTGATTTTGTACAATTTTTAGTGTTAACTTTTTAGAATATTAAATTCTTTGTTATAATTAAAGACCGGATTTATATGCATTTTAATTGTAAAATATGCATGCAAACATGCACTAAAAAAAAGTCAAAATATGCAAGGAAAATTGCAAAACATGTCAAAATAAAATTTAATTTTATATTGATTTTAATTTAGTGATATATGTTATTATTGTATTTACATTTTCATAAACAAAAGTTGCATGTATAATTATAGATACAAATTTAATTTTTTTAAATTGTAATTTGATTTTTAAACATTGATATATTGTAAAAATATTTTATTAAAATTAAATAGTAGATACATTGGTGATATACTGATATAAATAGGAAAAAGTAATGAACAATTTTATTGAAGGTAGGTAAATTAGATGTGAAAACAATAAGTTATCAAAGTATGTTATGTTATCTTGTGAAATTATGACGGCATCTGTAAGAATGTACTTGTATGATGAAACAGCTTCGACATCAACACTGGTGATTGGAGCATATTTGAAATTTAGCATATATCCAGCGAATAATTTGAAGAACAGATAAAATCGTCGAATTAGCACTGTCACGCTAGAAGATATTTTTGAATTTCTTTAAACCATTAATCCTTTATTTTATTCAAAACGTTTTACATTTTAGTTTTAATTATTTACTATTTGCACTAGTAGGAAGTTCATTAACAGAGTTTTCCACTTGTTCTAAAATTTTAACGAGTCTACAAAGGGACTAAATTAGAGGTTTAAGCTTTTGATACTTTCAACGCATACATAAAAATTTGCTTTTAATGTAAAAGATCATATTTATAATTAAATTTATTAAAAATTGATTTACAATTTTGAATGCATTTTGATATTATCTTCTAGTTTTCAATCACATTTTGAACTCTTCAAAATGATCGTGCGTGGAAGGATTGACTCTCAGCCAAGCTACCCCAACGGGTATATGGCTGCGGTGGTAAATGTGAATTGGCAACATTTCTTTATAATTAATTCTATGCAGACCTTTGAGATATTCTTTGAGACGTAAAATATTTGATATTATAATATTATATAAACATTACTCCTATGATCTATGTTTTATTTGTATATTTGTACGGTTTTGTTAAAATAATGCAAAAATATGCAGATCATCATTAACGTCAGAATAACCAAAAATATGCAGTATAAATTTGATATTAATCAATCAAGTAATGATTTGTGGACACTCATTGACTGCATGTATATATGATGTTGAAAATAACAACATACATTTTATGCAAATCCGGTCTTTTAGTTATAATTATAAAGGTAATTTTATCATTTAGCAAACGGTAATTAACTGTAGGATACCGATAAAATAAAATTTGTTAAATTAGTAAATATTTTGATATTATCAATTTTTCTTAAAAATAATGGACTTACGACAATTTTTGTAAAAGATGCTTTTTGTAGGAAATATTAAAATACATTAATTAGGTTCATCTAAATTTTTACGCTAAGTACGGTAGTTTCTAAGTTAAATAAAATAATAAAAACACCCCTTTTGTCATATTCAACCCTGATGCGGCACCAGAAGGGGTTGAGTGAGACCTTCAAATTTTACCCAAATTACTTACAAATGCTACTTAACAAATTAGGAATTTTGTCTTAAAGTTAAGTTGAAGAAGCAAAACCACCCTAATGTACATTATAAATTACCTATTATTGAATTTGGCAACAATGAACCTATTAGTATCTTATAAAGTTATAACTATATATGTTACCCATGCTTAGTTTATTTACTAACGACAAGTAGTTACGATTAGTAATTACTGCAGATGAGTATTATGCATCGTGTAAACCTGTGAGGTGAGAGCATGTTAGAAATGGCAATAATCCTAAATGGACCGTTATAAGCAATAGAATAAATAAGAATACTAATAAAAATACCAAAAATAAGACTGATAAAATAGTTTGTATTGACGTTATTATGTTGATTACATTATACAAATAAAATGCTACTTGTCAGGAAAATGTTGGATCAATTATTTCTGGCAACTTAAATGATCAAGTAAACATAATGAAATGTTTCCATTTTGCCTTCAAATTCATCACTATGATAAATTTTATGTTGAAATTCCTATTCATAAGTGCCAAAATATTAAGTAAAATGATACTATTTTAAATATTACTAATTATACAACTAAAAATACATTAATAAATTAATTTCACTTTGGTGTCAAATACAAAATAACATAAATTTCTTAATGTTACTTAACAGTTGTCCCACAACGCGAAAATATGGTATAGTTTTTAATGTGATTTTCTGATTTATTTTTAAACACTGGTTATTTTGTTCTATGCATCATCGGTGAATGCCTTTTACCAGACCAGACATAATTTCAATGATTGCATCATTTC